AAATGCAAACTGCTGTCACCAATGCTTTAAATGACATAAGGAAAGGCTTAAAAGAGATAGAAGCTAGGACCTCCCACCTGGAGGACAGCATGGAAAGCCTCACTGGGGCCTGCAATGCTGCTGACACTCGCCTCAGTATACTTGAAGAACAAATGCACAGACAAGAGACCAAAATGGCGGATGCCGAAGACAGATCACGCCGCAATAATATACGGCTGAGAGGGGTACCAGAGGATATTGCACCGCAAAATCTCACAGCCTACGCTGTGGAGCTTTTCCACGCCATACTACCTGATATCCCCGCAGAAATGTTTCTACTAGACCGCATCCACAGACTCCCCAAGCCGCAACACCTACCGCTTTCCACACCGAGAGATGTCCTTATGAGACTCCACTACTACCACATCAAAGATCAGATCCTACGGACGCACCGCACCAAAAAGGACTTACCTACCCAATTCAAAGACATACTCCTGTTCATGGACCTATCAGCAGAGAGACGCTACGCCGCAGACGATCCTTCAAGGCCGTGGCAGACACGCTGAGGCAAAACCGAGTGCCATACAGATGGGGCTATCCAGCCAAGCTGCTCATAACAAAGGGAGGAAAAATCATCCCGGCTGCTACACCGACGGAAGGACTGAACCTCCTGAAGCAGTGGGGTTTATCCCACAACACACAGCCAAACCCCAGAAACCCCGGTAAACAGCTACCCGACGACTGCCGGCCCCAGAAGACGAGACGCACTTCTCCGAGAGAGGACTGAGCGTACCCGATAAGAAACAGCAAGTTCGCAACATGTTTGCTTTGTTACCTAAATGTTATATCCTAAGTTATAACGTATGTTAATGTCATGTTTAATACTAACTAGCACCCTTATGATATGCCCTCGAGTGACTCCCCTTGGTGAAGGGAGCGGCATTGAGCACGCCGCCACACTAGGCCCAGCCTAACAACCTCACCCTGTTTACATAGGGTGCACATCCTTCTCTTTTCCTTTATTTGTTTGGCGGCTGTCCCTCGCGGACACGGCCTCCTCTAAAACCACGTAGGCCCTACTATACCCACAGCGGTGCTGAGCGCTCCAACCACTACACACCAACCTTTCAGGCAGGGGAGATGCCCCGGACTCACATTGGGCCCGTAGCGATCTACGCTCAAACCGAACCGCCCACACTACCCCCATCTAGGAAGTGCCATAGCGAAGGCACATACCCTTTAAGACACCTTGTAAGATACTTTCTTTGTTTACTGTTTAACCGTTTATATTTTTATTTTGTTATTCTGTGCTGGAAAATTTGATTGATTTCCTAGTTGCACCTAGCTCCTACCAGACCGTGAAAACTCGTTGCTGAACCACACGGTCGCCCACGCCGGACGAGCTGATCAACCCCTCGACTCCCCAAGACTGAGACTGTTTCCCCTCCCGCCTCCACACCACTTAACTGCCCCACACGACTTCCTAATATTATCCACATACACAATATACACCACTCACGGAAAATGAAGTTACTTACCCATAACGTAAGAGGTTTAAACTCACCCAACAAACGACACACCCTCCTTAAAGAACTTAATAACACGCACGCAGACATCGTCTGCTTACAGGAGATCCACTTCAAACAGGGCTCCAACCCCGTCCTGGGTCTCAAATCCTATCCACACCAGTTTCATTCCACCTCCCCAACCAAAAGTAAAGGTGTAACGATACTGATAAGCCACTCTATAGCCTTTGACCTAATCTCAATCGACTCTGATCCGAAAGGTCGTTACATCATTTTAATCTGCACCTTAAATAACTCAACGTACACGATAGTGAATTCTTACTCACCAAATGACAACCAAGAGACCTACCTAGCTCACCTGCTTGACAAAGTTGAGAAAATCCAAACGGGCACCACGGTCATTTGCGGTGACTTCAATCACATACTAGAACCTGAAACAGACTCCACAGCCCGACACTCATCGTCACGCAAGAAATCACTACACAAGAGCTGCAACTCCATAAACAAACTTCTGTCAGCACATGGACTATACGACATATGGAGGATTCTCCACCCTACTAACAAGGAATACACCCACTACTCCCAAGTACATAATACCTACTCCCGGATAGATGGGTTCCTCCTGCGCTCCGCGCACCTTCAACTAATAAGAACGTGTGACATAGAAACATCCACGATCTCGGACCACAATCCGGTGTCGCTGGTCCTTGCAGACTCGTACCAATTCAAACACCGTAGCCCCTGGAGACTGAACGAACATCTCCTTAACGAACCCTCTTTCCTAAAACAAGTAAGAGACTAAATAACTTCATACTTCACAACCAATAGCCCTGCAGACACGACCCCGGCCACCCTGTGGCTAGCCCACAAAGCTGTCGTTAGAGGCATCCTGATAAGTAGAGCAGCCCATCTTAAAAAATTGAACTACTCCTCAATGCTTTCACTCCTTAAGAAGATCCAAGACCTCCATAGATCGAACCAAGCAAACCCCACAAAAGCACTCCAGCAGCAAATTCAATCCACGCAAGACGAAATTAACGCCATACACCTCCGCAAGGCAACGGCTGCGTTAAAAACGCTAAAAGCCACATCCTACTCAATGGGCAACAAAGCTACAAAAACATTGGCGCACAGACTTAGGGATCAACAGACACAAACTAGAATACAATACATAAAAACACACACTGGTCACAAAGTACTGCAACCCTCACATATATGCAACGAATTTGCCCACTACTATGGCTCTCTATACAACTTGAAAGACGACCAGAATGCGCCCAGACCCTCACCGACATCCATTAGGTCTTACCTCAACAAACTCGCACTCCCCACTATAAACGCACATCAAGCGACACAGCTCAGTGCCCCAATCACCTTAGAAGAAGTCCTTCTCCACATTGAGGCATTGCCCAGAGGTAAAGCACCAGGCCCAGATGGGTACACCAACACATACTACAAGACATTCAAACACGAACTTGCCCCTTCCCTTACCCATTTCTTCAACGAAGCAACTACCCAGAGCTCCTTCCCCATTGAGTTCCTGTCAGCCCACGTAATCACGATACCCAAACCGGGAAAGACCCCAACCGTATGCCAAAATTTCAGACCTATCTCACTGCTTAACGCAGACGCTAAACTCTACGCGAAAATCCATGCTGACCGACTTAAAGCAATACTACCCTCCCTCATACACACAGACCAGGTGGGTTTCGTGGCGGGCAGACAGGGCCTGGATAACACCAGAAAGGTCCTGAACCTACCTACACCATCTCCTAAAACACACCAACACAGAGAGCATTATGCTATCACTTGACGCAGAAAAGGCGTTCGACCGCCTCAACTGGCACTTCCTACACGAAGCCATGACCCTCTACGGCTTTCCACCGACCTTCCTGTCAGTCATACAAGCTCTATACAGCAACCCCACAGCGACAGTTCTGACCTCGGGGTTCTGCTCTCAACCCTTCCCGATAACCAACGGCACCCGCCAAGGTTGCCCACTGTCTCTCCTCCTATACGTCCTGGCCCTAGAACCCCTGGCCATAGCCATCCACGAGAATAATAACATACACGGAGTCCCACTTGGCCAACAGGAATATAAGCTCAATCTATTCGCAGATGACATATTACTCACACTCACCCAACCACTCATTTCTCTTCCCTCCCTACACAAAGAACTACACGCATACAGCCAACAATCCTACTACAAACTCAACATCACCAAAACGCAAGCAATGTGCCTCAACATGCCCAGAACTACTGAAAATGTCCTTAAAGCGGCACACGATTATGACTGGAGAACAGACTTCCTAACGTTCTTAGGCATCAAGATTACCAACAAATCCACCGATCTCTTTACAGCGAACTACGCAAAACTACAAAGGGAAATTGAACAACTACTTCGTAGATGGGCAAATCTATTCCTATCATGGGTCGGAAAGATAGCTGCTATCAAGATGACAGTACTCCCTAAACTCTTATATCTCTTTCGGTCCTTGCAAATCAAGATCCCACAGAGCTACCTGACAAAAATGCAAGCAATCCTCCTCCGTTTCTGCTGGGGTGGAAAACACCTCAGAGTACCTAAAGCCCTGCTCTTTAGACACGTACAACAAAGGGGAATGGGTTTCCCTAACTTAAAATCATACCACCAAGCAGCCCTACTCACAAACGTCATTAACGCTCACACCACGAAACAACCCCCACAATGGGTAGCGATGGAAAGCCTACTCTGTACAAACCACGACCTCTCCTCCACCTTATGGACTCCCAAACATGCAAGACCGAAAAGCTCGGACCTGCTGCCTACCACCAGGCTCTTAATATCCACATGGGATACCTGCAGGGCAAAAAATATTCTCAGCGCATCCATGGGCACTAGCAGCCCCAACCAAAACATTACACCACTGCAATGGCACGTTCCCACACCACAAATGGGAAGACAAAGGCATCACACACATGTATCACCTCTACACGCCCGAAGGCCTGAAACACTTCCCAGACCTCCAAACCGAATTTACACTCCCATCAAACTTCACGTTCTCATACCTTCAATTAAAGGCCTTACTACAAAACAACACGATCCACAGCAGAAAACCGACTTTACAGACCACAGCGACGAAGTTCGAAATGCACTGCATGGCAGCATCACCCCCTAAAAAAGCGCTCTCCACCTGCTATAACAGACTAACAAACCTCAAAACAGAAAGCACATGGAAATTTATGAAAGACTGGCAGGAAGACCTCCAAGAAACGATCTCCCCTCGAGAATGGAAGAAAATCTTCACAGCGCATGAAGGCATGTCTTCCTGCGCGGCCCACTTTGAAACTTCACGCAAACTGCTGTATAGATGGTATATGGTACCCGCACGACTACACTCCATGTACCCAGGTTCGACGGACATATGCTGGCAATGCAATTCTCACAGAGGCACGATGCTACATATATGGTGGTCCTGCCGCACGGTAAACGAACTGTGGAAGAAGACTGAACAAATGATCCAAGAAATTACGGAATATTCCCTGCCTCACGACCCCAAAACGATTCTCCTGCGATCACTACCTGAAGCTACCCCCAAACCAGCTAAAAAAAATGATATTCCTTATACTGAGCACAGTCTCCACCCTCATAGCCAGAAATTGGAAGACCTCAAACCTCCCCTCAATCCAGGAAATCACCGCCTTGATGTCAACAACAGTGGACTACGAACTCCGAATGTGGCACCTATTGAAAATCGGAAAGTTGAGTCCATCCATCGCCGAGACGTGGCGAACCTACCTTTCGACAAGGATCCCACCAACACAACCCCCTTAGCCTAATGCGAAGAGAGGCAAAAAAGAGACAAGCCACATGATCCTCTTTCTACTGGGAGCAGCAAACCCTGCCCACTGCCCTCCCGTTACACCACTAACACCCACGACTATACACGACTCGAGACATACCTCCACTCCCCCTGACGCTCCTGACGGATGTCGACCACATTGGGGCTACACTAACTCTAGCACCAAGTTCTCAACCCTCACCCTCACCCTCATTCTCCTCCCACAACTCTCACCCCCACTCTCACCCTCAAGCCTTGACTAAAAGCCTTATAAAAGTACAAACCATTACGCACCTGGCCCCAGCTAGACACCTTACACACAACGTGAGAGAAAGGTAGCTTAGACGAGTACCTCTCAAGGACTAGGTCACTGAAGTATAGTACATTCTGATCCCCGCTGCAATCACAACAATCACACCCCCAATTATTCAGAAAGGGGACCCTCTATCGAAAGCAGATAGTGAACACTCATCATGTTTATCCACAACGGGAACATACACCAGTTCTAACAGGTCTCCCCTAAAGGAATCCCACCAAAAGACGATACACACATTGGCAACGAAACAGCCCTCTTTCGGCAATTAAGAGAAAGCACTCCATTAACAAAAAGAGATGATTCCTCGAACCCTAAGCAGACATCCTACACGAAACAGTGCTATAAGCACCAATTAGACTAACCCCTACGAGCTCCCCTCCACGCCTTATCTTTATTCCCCTACACAAATGGGAAACTATTATACAAAACAGAGTTAAAGCCAATAACCACACAAAGTTCCCTCAGTCAGACGTGCCATAAAGGGAGATCTGCCCAGGGAACGAAAGTATATGTAATGTGAACTAAAAAATACAAGATGTATTGTTTCTACTTGCGACATGCTTGTTATGTTTGAAATGCGAAACTACATGGTACTAAACTACTGGCTTTTTCCCCCCCTTAACCACCCCTTCTCTTCTGTACCCCTACAAATTTGTTGAAAATAAATAAAAATTGTCAAATTCAAAAAAAAACATAAGGCAAAGTATGGACTACTTTGTCTTGTGCATTTTTTTATGCTTGACAATCTTGACAAATGGTGGAGCTTTAGGCAAGTTTCACCTCCTTTCTCAATTAACAAAAGCAGTTGAGTTTCCCTTTAAGCTCCACACCTAGTTGAGATTGCCAAGCGTAGGGAAATTACATAAGGTAAAGTAGTCCCTTTGTTTTAAAGAGCAACAGATCAGAAATAGAGAAAAGAAGAACAGAGTCAAAAGATTTGAAGTGAAGAGGAAACACTAAGAGAAAAGTAAGTTTGAGGTTACAGAGTGGCTTTAACAACAGTGATCATCTTTATTGTTGTTGTCCGCCAGAGGTGGTAAGATCTCGGGTATTACAAGGAATTGTTAAAACTCCGGTACCAGTGATATCAAAACCTTTGCCACTTAAGAAAACTTGTGTGTCCAGTTCTTTGCCTGGGAATCAGAGGTGGCCACTAAGCTAGATTTACATAGCTATCACTATACATACATGTAAGCAACTTTATGTTTGTCAGTGTGCAAATTTGTGAATAATTTATGTATTGTGTTTTAATGTTATACAGTTTGGAAGATTTATTTCTTTTTTGGTGAATGTTCTAAATACATTAAGGAGACACAGTCGTGTAGTACAGCAGCATGCTACAGCAGCTGCATTCATGTATTTTACATTAATAAATCCATTTATTTGTGCTCAACAATATATTAGGCCGAGGGTTGTGAAATATGCACAGAGCTCCATTAAAATGTAGGGTTTATGGAGAGTTTACTGCAGAAGCTACAAATCCTGGGGATACTTTTGCATGTTTTTTTAATACATTACAAAAAAGCTTAGACCCTTAAGTTGTTGTTGTTTTTTCTGTACTGGATCAGTGTGTGTTTTTGAAGTTTTCTATCTTTTGTTGGGTTTTTGTTGTATTTTACCTCTAGGTATTTTATTTGCCATGCATGATTCATAGTATAAGCCCACGCTGTAAGATCATAAGCCAAGGCTATTTTATGTCAGGCAGAGAACATAACAAGGATAAACATGAAATTGCACTCACAATACATTGAGCGTGTATTCTGACAGATTCTTTTTAACAAAAGGATAATAAAAAATAGAAAAAATAAGAAACGATAGCTTTTAACTTGTGATGTACTCAACTGCAGTAAACAGGAAGCATTGGTTCTTTAGTTTTTCACTATGAGGTTATGATCAACAACCTGAATTACGTACTGTGAGAGAAAGATTTTATCACTGTGATCTCTTCTAATTGTTTAACAGCATGCAAGCTGCCCCTATGCTGAAACCAATAATTATAGGTTACTTTTTAGGAAAATAATAAAAAAAATTAAAAAAAACCTTGTTTAAGCCAGAGGTAACTACACTCATACAAAGTAAATTATACACATGAAAAAATACATGAAAAGAGCATATTTTTACAAGATAATCAAAATGTAATGATTAGAAAGAACTGAAACGTCTTATTGAATTCCCAATGTATCTTTTCATATCTACCATATATGAAGAGGTGTAACTAGAAACCAACGGGCGAAGAAAAACACATGTGTTTAAGGACAAACTTCTGGAATAAAAGGGAATCATGACATGTCACACATGTCATGTGTCCTTAAGAGGTTAAACTCACCAACCTCCTGTCCCCCCAGCCTTACCACGTGGCTCATTCTACTACCCAGCCACAACATGTGTTTCATTCTCCCCCCCCCCAGCCCCTCCATGTGTGTCATTTCCTCCCCCAGCTCCTCATTCCCTCCCCCCAAGTGCCTCCATGTGTCTCATTCCCTCCCACCTATCCCCTCCATGTGTCAGACTGCAGTCCTCTGGGCCATGCTACACACAGTGGCAGGAGGGGAGAAGCACAGCACAGTGCTGCTCTCCTGATGGTCACCAAGCAAATGCGTGCACAGGGGCATAGTGCAACGGCCCTAAAGTTGTCAGCCCCCTGGAGTAATGGGCTCGGAAACTTGGCTGGGTAGATAGCTCTAAATAATTGTAAAATGGAGGTCATCTACTGAAAAGAAACAACAGAGGGGAAAAAAGGAAAAGAGAGGGGAACATCTACTATCTACCTAGCTAAAATCTTCTTTTGACATTATTTCTTTTTATTATTTTGGCAATCTGTAATTACTCTGTGGGTTCCTTATTGATAAATTATTTAAAGTAGATGCACCCAACACATTGTAGTTAGTGAATAGCCAATATAATGATGGCTGAGAAGGATTGAGTTTATTTGTAAATGCAATTCATATGGATTATTAAGGTAATGTGCTCTTGGGATCTTGACATCTTAGTTTTTGTATACCATTTCACTTATAGTGTATGTGATTACCAAACCCTGTATGAAACTTGGCCAAATCTGAGCTTTTAGAATACACAATGGGAAAAGCATTAGATTGGCTGAGATTGTCAATTCTGATGATCTCAGCCAAGGAGGCAGGCCGGGGGTGGAGCCAAACAATGCCCTGGCCAATCAGTATGTCCTCATAGAGATTAATTGAATTAATGCATCTTTATGAGGAAAGTTCAGTGTCCCTATGCATAGGGTAGAGACACTGAATGTCAGTCACACTGTGCAACACTGCCACAGGAAGCACTTATAGTATCCATCTGAGCAGTGGCCACTAGAGGTATACCTAGGCTGTAATGTAAACAATGCCTTTTCCATGAAAAGACAGTGTGTACAGCAAAAAAATCTGCAGGGACAGCCTACACTCACCAGAACAACTACATTAAGCTGTAGCAGTTCTGGTGACTATAGCATCCATTTAAATATCATTCTCCCTACTGCAGTAGAAAATAGCACTTCAAATATGTTATACGTATCAATAGCATGATAATCTAGTCCATTGTCTTTAGAATGTCATTTTTTTAACTCATAATCAACATAGGATTAACAATGGGTCTTTAATGCATTGAAAATAAATAACAGGCTACATGATTAAGGTCTGCTGTACACAACACCCAGGGGAATGGTAATACGACGATGAAAAATAGTACTACCTGAAAATAAGGAAAAGGGGCAAATTCCAAACATAAGGCTGAAATATCTTTCTACTAGATGTAGATAAATATATTGGTAGAACAGACTACATAGGGTGTAATATAGGATGAAACCAAAAGTAGCCAAAGGGTCATTGTGTTCCATAAAGGAAAACACAATATTCCCGGAAGTACCATCAATTAATTATTAAAAGACAGTTGATTTCAATCACAGTGCCCTATATATACACAACAACAGCTTCCAAGACCATTGTATCCCCGATAAAGTCCCGAAGGGACAAAACAAGTTCAATTGCTTTTCCAGTTTTGTAGCTGCTATTTGTTTTTATTTTTATAATTGATTATTTTGATTGCTTTTATTTACGGTAACAGTGGTTTCTACTTCCATAGTGATTCTCTCCTTCTGATGTGGTCTAGTGGCATTGGAGATATGCCTATGTTACTTATAATTTTGTAAGTGTATTTCTCCATTAAATTATACTTTTTAAAACAATATTGCACTATCCTGCTGTTCTCTTGTCTTATACATCTCAAGGTGGCTGAGGATTGAAGACACACTGAAGCAGATATATGTCAGGGTCTTACCTGAGTTGGGAGTCTGTAGCGCAGATATGATGCTCACCCTTGCAGATAGCCACAGGCCGAGGTGGTCAGGTAAGAATTCACCTGGCCTGTGGGTCTGTGCAGGATGCAGTACCAATACGCAGGACAGGCAAGGACTGAACCAGCAGGATGGTCGAGGGATAGCCGAGGTCAAAGGATGCCAGAGGACAGGAACAACGAGGAGTAGCCGAAGTCAAGGGATGCCAGAAGTCAGAATAAACGAGTCAGGAAGCCGGGGTCAATAATGCGAAGCGATGAAACAGGAACACTAGAACAAACAGGATCAAAGACTTGACACTGAGCACAGGGCGAGGCTGGGTTTATATACCCTGCTGATGACTGATCAGAGTCAGGTGAAACACAGCCAAGTCAAGGTGCAGCCCCCAGAGTAGTAGCCATGTCAGGATGAACAGGACTGGAATCAGTCTTCACTGTAAATAGCTGCTGTGGCTCAGAGGTAGAAAGCAGGACCAGGACTGAGAAGATCCCCGGTTCAAGTCCCCTGTTGGGAACTCCAAGAGCGACCACGTCTTGCCGTCTGTCTATCAGGTGAGAACCGTGACAGTACCCCCCCCTTTAAAAACGACCTCCGGGCGTAAATAGGTTCACTGTCAGCATAGTACACCTCTCCAGGGTCACTATCTGAATCCAGTGAGTCCCCATAGTCAAACTCCCCAGCAAGGATTCCCTTTACAGCTTGGGAGTCCGCAGTACCAGCTTCTGGTACGGCTGGAGAATTGTCCAGGTCTTTTAGGTTCCGGGTACAGGTGGCAAGCACTTCCAAAACTTTGGCAGGAGCAGTGTTCGCAGCTAACAATGCTTTTTCGAACATTTCAAGGTCTTCTTTACGGACTATAGTGCCATTAGAAGCAACGGCACAATCCACAGGTAAAACCTCTTCGGGCGGGCAGGAAGTAGTGGTGGTATCACAGGAAGCAACTTCGGGAGTAGATGCAGGAGGCTCTGGAGCAGGGGATGGAGGTTTTCTCGCGGAAGCCAAGCATGTGCAAGCACAACGGCTTCTATTTGGCTTTTTAGGCTGGTATGCGGTGTACACAGGGCGAAGGAAACTAGTACCAAGTCGGAGAGCTGGAGGTCTAGGAGGGCGAACAGGACAAAGCGTGATGAAATGCCCTTTTTCTCCACAGTAATAACATAGGCCATAGCTTCTCCTTCGGTCTTTTTCCTTAGGTGTCACTTTGCAGTGGACGAGTCCTAATTGCATAGGTTCCACAGGGTCAAGTGGAACACCGGATACCTCTGGAGATTTCCTGGGAGCTGGAACATAAGGAGGCATTTCTGGGGCGTAGTGGTGGTACTCGGTTTCTTGGTTAGGAAGAGTCTGAGATTTTTTAGTACGTGGAGCTGACTTGGCCACAGTGGTCTTACATTGTGAGTCCATAGCAGTACTAAAGGATTCCCAGCTGACCAGGACAGGACTCTTCGTCTGCAACATTTGGTGAGCCCAAACTTTGATGCGTCCAGACAACAGGTTGATAGCCGCTCTGACCCTGATGAATTCTGTGGCATATGTTCGAGGCTTTAAAGAAAACAACACCTCACAATCCATCTTGAAAGACTGAAAGGATGTGCGGCTACCATCAAATCGGTCGGGCATGATGACAAACGGTTCAGGAAAAGCTGGTTCCGGGGCTGGATGTACTGCGCCTTTAAGGAATACAATTTCTTGCTGCAGCTCCGAAACAGTCTGGGCCAGGCTGGACACACGCTGGGTCGAGGGTGAGCACATCTCTGCGGACTCCATAATGGTCAAGTCTTATGTCAGGGTCTTACCTGAGTTGGGAGTCTGTAGCGCAGATATGATGCTCACCCTTGCAGATAGCCACAGGCCGAGGTGGTCAGGTAAGAATTCACCTGGCCTGTGGGTCTGTGCACGGGGGCTGTGCAGGATGCAGTACCAATACGCAGGACAGGCAAGGACTGAACCAGCAGGATGGTCGAGGGATAGCCGAGGTCAAAGGATGCCAGAGGACAGGAACAACGAGGAGTAGCCGAAGTCAAGGGATGCCAGAAGTCAGAATAAACGAGTCAGGAAGCCGGGGTCAATAATGCGAAGCGATGAAACAGGAACACTAGAACAAACAGGATCAAAGACTTGACACTGAGCACAGGGCGAGGCTGGGTTTATATACCCTGCTGATGACTGATCAGAGTCAGGTGAAACACAGCCAAGTCAAGGTGCAGCCCCCAGAGTAGTAGCCATGTCAGGATGAACAGGACTGGAATCAGTCTTCATTGTAAATAGCTGCTGTGGCTCAGAGGTAGAAAGCAGGACCAGGACTGCGAAGATCCCCGGTTCAAGTCCCCTGTTGGGAACTCCAAGAGCGACCACGTCTTGCCGTCTGTCTATCAGGTGGGAACCGTGACAATATACCCCAGTTGGGAGATAAGCCTGAGTTTATTTCTAGTTTGTGAGTGCATTTTCACCCCCACCCCCTTTTT